TTAAAATATTACTTTTTAAATATGCATAAAAGTATCTTAACTATAATTATATTTTAGTTGCTTTGTTACAATAGCATGCATATCGAATATAAAATGCATTTATCAAAACTTTTGTAAAAAATAAAGATTTTTTGTTTCTCAAAGTTGCCTATAATTATTATTTTATGCACTTATATTGCATAATCCCCTGATGTTAGCATATTTGATAATCATCAGTCATAGTGCTTATGGTTACCATGGCATTAAGCTGTGTCACTATAGTCTGCAGACTCTACAGCCTCTGTAAAGGTCCCCAAACTTCAAAGACTTATCGTCCCCCAAGAGGCTGTGCTTTGCTATCTACAATTGCTATGACCAAATGTGTCCTGGACTTAAATCATGTTTATGCTTTTAAAAGAACAAATAACTGTATTCAAATTTTCCATCATGATGGCCCTTAAATGGTATTTCCATAATGTCTTTTACCCACATACAAGTTAACAGGTACACTTAAGATGGTGCATTTCTGCCATGTCTAAATTATGCCTAATCTGCCTTCTACATATATTTGCTATCTTCCACTCCTCTATTCGCACAGCTTTTCATGTAACAGGCGCCATTCTCATCTCTTGTCTGGAATATTATAGTGCTTTCTTAGTCCTCCGTTTCTACCCCAACGTTTTCAAATTTCACCGTCCACATTTCAGTCAGGGTGACCTTTCTAAGTTGAAAATCTGGTCATGCCACTCTCCTGCTTAATATTCTTTCAGTGACTTTCCCGTTTCCAGGATAAAGTTCAGACTCCTTGGTTCAGCACGCAAGGCCTGGTACCTCTTCTCCTGCCCTTGCCTCATGGAGCCGTGGCTCTAATCATTCCAACTACTTTTTGTAGTGCCCTAAAAGCATCACGTTTTTCTGTGCTTCCAAGCAGCATATCTGGTCGCCTTTTCATAGAGTGCCCTTTCCTTTAATTCCTGTAACTCTTACCATTCATCTCTTAAAACTCAGCTCACTTATCTTTTTCTCTGAGGAGCTTTCCACATGGATGACTAGCTGATTGTCCATCTGCCCCACTCCCACTCAGACAGTTTCTTGAGGCTGTAGCTCCAGTGCAGAAAGTCTGGCCCATAGTGGATGCTCAAGGAAAGCCTATTGAATAAAAATCCCTTTGGCCGTTCTTCATATGTGGCATAGGATTAAGATGGCAACCTGAAGTTACATTTCATTTATCACTGAGATTTTTTCCATTCTTGTCAACTGAGGAAAATTAAACTGGTTTTCAGTTGTGAGGCTCAATGGGTCCACTCCATAAGAAAACATTCAGAAAGATTTCCCCTGGGCTCCAGGGAATCCTAAACCCATGAACTAGCTGTTCTCCAAAAAGCTTTCTTCAGAAATCTCTTCAAAATTTGGAATTTGTTTTCCCATGGAAGTTAGTATCACCATAACAGTTTCAAACCTAATCAAACTGGTCACGTGACTGAAATAACACATTAATGGTAGAATTCTGAGTCTAAATATGGGAGTAGTACAACAGGGAAATGGAACTTTGGTTTAACACTCATGACTGAATGCTTGCACTGGTGTTTGTGTATTTGGGGATAGAGTGAGGGGACATAGAAAGATGACTGAGTTGAGATGTCTGTGCACTACCTCACCCTTTTTAATAGAGGACACATTTCCTGCCCCTTTTATAGGCTGGCTCTAGGAAGCTTTAAACAGATTGAATCTGTAGTTCCTTCCCCTCTCCACGCTACCAAGGGCTTCAAGCTCCTTTCCTTACTCCCCCATCTCTTTGCCAGCCATGTGTTAGGAGGAATGGGAGCATGACAAGCATGCATGCTAGCCAAATGCCAGGAGATCCATGCCACTTATACCAACCATCTGTCATAAGGAGCCTCCCTAGGCTGTGGTTTCTTCAGCTGCAAAATGAGGGGGCAACCAGATCATCTCTGAGGACCCTCTTGACCCAAGAAATCATACCAAAGATTATTTCCAGTTTTGAAACCCTATGTATTAACTCCCATAAATCTGTACTTGATGGCACTTCAGTGAATATAATTCAATGTAGTCAGAGCTCTAGGGAATAGGGCCACCAAAGGGCAGATCAGCTTTTGCTTTAAGCTGTTTTCCTTTTTCAATGCTTTTTACATTTCTAGGCCTAGGGCATCCCAAGGCCCAGACTTTCCAAAGGTCATTTAAGAACACTCTTTTTCCTCCCACAACAGTCCTGAAAGAGAGAGAGGGGAGCCTGGAGACTTGGCTTCTAAACTGGAGACTGCCTGTCAGCATATTATGGATGTGACTAAAGAAAGGGTATTGAAATATACTGTGACAAAACTGTGGGATCCTTGACTGAAAGACCATTTCTAATTAACCTCTATCTCCAGGACCTCCCACAATGCCTGACACAAAGTAAGGTGCTGAATAAGTATTGATTCAGTGACTTGAAGCACTGTATCTAATCGGGTAAGAATGAGTACCCTCTGTTCTTTACAAAGTTAAGTTGTAATGATTAATTATATATTAAATTGATTGTCAAGTGAGTTTCTATAAGCAGATTTTAAATTAAAAATTCTGAGTGTTCTTATAAAAATATTGTGGCAATGTCACGGGGCTATCATCCAAAAGACCCTAATATTTCTCAATACCTAAGCTATGTAACCAGCTATGCTTGCTTACAGGAACTGGAAAGGATTGCTGAGAGCAAAGACCAATATGGCGATGGGGCATCATGTGCAAAAAGGATCATGCACACAAGGTTCGAGTAGAAGAATAATCATGCCTGCCTAAAATAATTTAATCCCTCCATGCCACAGTCTATAAGTACAGAAGTCTCCTCCCAGTTGGGGAGTAGGTGCCATTGGAGCATGAGCTCACCCTTCTCCATTCTTTGATCAAAGAGTAAAATTTCTTCTCTGTTTAACCAAACTTAGTTTTGTTCTATTGGCGCCAAGGGACCTTGATTTGAGTCCCTGACCCAGAAGTCATATATATCATATATATATATACACACACACACATATGTTTACACACATAATATTAGAGCATCACAGAAAAGTCTTTGAGTTTTTGTAATTTTTTTTTTTGAAGATTTTATTGGGGACTTGGGGGAGGGGAACAGCATTGGGGAATGGGGTAGGGGAACAGACAAGTTGCTGTCCTTTTGTTCTTCAGTCTAGTTGTGGAGGACGTCGCGTCACCGGCCCATGTTGGTATTATCATTTTGCTCTTCCCGGTGAGGCAGATCGGTCACTGGCTACTGGACAGCTGCTCACGGTGGCTCTTCGCAGATCACGCTGGCTGCAGGCTGCTCACAACGGCTGCCAGTCACTCACAGTAGCTTACAGCAGCCCACTGCAGCTTCACTGTAGCCTATGCTGTCCCCAGCGACTCATGGCAGCCCAGCTCCAGGTCGAGCTGTTCATTTTAGCTGTAGAGGGCAGCTGTCACTGGCCCTCATGTGGGATCCGAACCTGAGCCCTGCTGCTCAGAGCTGGCGTCCCAAGCCAATTCCTAACCAACACGCCACTCGCCCGCCCCCAGTTTTGTAATTTTGATGTCAACGGAACAAATCCCCTGGTGTGGAGACCCAAGCCCTGGACCAAGAAGGTTCTTGGCTTCATATAGGAAAGAATTCAAATGTCAGCAGATAGAAAGTTTAAAATGAAGATGTTCGAAGGCTTGGCCAAGAGCTTGGTGATACCGCTGCCTGGGGAGGCATGGAGGAGGGGCCTGGAATAGTGGTTTCTTGGCAGCTCAGGAAAGAATTCAGCACGAGCAGAAACGAAAGTGATGCAATATTAACTTTATTCAAGCAAAGGAGAAGAAAGAAGCAGGTTACTCCATAGACAGAGTAGCAACACTCCTGCCTGGGTTTGAGCCTATTTTTAATTAAGAGCTGTACATTCAAATTTGTAGGAGGAAGAGTCAGGTGTTTTGGAAGTGGCGGACATTTCTTCTTCTGCAGCTGGTGATAAGTTTAAATGACAAGTTTCAACAAGGGCTGAGATTTCTTGTTCTGCAGCCAGTCCTGCTTTTTATCTACCTCAATTTCATCTCTACAAACGGCATTTTAAATATTGTGAAATGTCATTTAAAAATATAAGATGGTTATTATGTGCACAATGTTTATCAGATGCAGTAAGATGGTTCAACCTAGGTGTATGGAGGGAGAAGAATGTCATTCCCATGTCCCTCGAATTGAGCAAAGCAGAAGAGCTGAGCCCCAGGGCACTAAAAGGGGTGCCCTGTGGAATTCTCCACTTTGACACAAGGCTGCCCAGATGTTTTGGAGGTAGCAGCTGGGCAGGAGGTAAGGGATTCTGCCTGTCCTTGAAAAGAAACTTCTGGAACCCACGATTTTCAAATGTTTGTTTTGCCTCTCAAGTACCATGACCCCTCAGTTTATTGCTGAAGAGGAAACTCACTGTTGCTTTAAAGTGCTTTCATTCCTTTCTGACCTTCCTGCACTGAGTCTGGCTGACCCCCAGCTAGGCTCCCTGTGCTCAGACATCTAAAACTCCATTACCAAGGCCTTACTGCAGTGTTCATAAGGAGAGCAGCGGAGGCATCAGTAGTACATGTTAGGCCTATCAGACTACCGAGAAAATTAAAAGCAAAGGAGCAAGCTCCTGGAGGGACAAAAAGGTTTTCTCAGTAAGATTCCCTTCAGTATGAGGCATGCGGGACTGGGGCAGGGGCCCAAGAGCCATGCAGGCCACGCTCATGTACCGGAGCTCGACTCCTCCAGGAGGGCGGGGCGGCGGCCATGTTACTACGTCTTCCCAGAAGCCTCTGCGCCGCGCGGCTGAGATAAAAACGCGGGAGCGAGGCGGGTGTCTCTAGTCCAGCGTCGCGGTTCCTGCTGCTGACTTGGGGCTTTTCCCCATTAGACTCCTCTCTGGCTTCTCCTCAGGCGGTCCGCTTGACGTTGACTCCCTCCCACAGTAGCCGGGCTCCTCAGGAAGGCGACGAGACAGGCAGTGGAGGGCCAAGAGGTCTCCTGAGGAGTGGGGTGAATGGCGTTGTGGCCGCGACGGGTCTATACCCGCAAGAAGAGGGGCGGCCAGCGGCTCAACCTGACCCCGACGCTGGACCTAGGCCCGTCAGTGACGGCGGAGGCCCCCTTAGGCCTGGGCCGAAGGCTCGCTGTCCACTGTAAGCCCCTCTGGAGTGGCCTGGGGTGGGTGGTCTTGGAAGCCAGGGTGGCTGGGCCTCCGTCCCAGGGACTCCCGAGCCCCGGCCTCCAGGGCTTTTTGCCCTGAACCGTGCCGCCCTCCTTCAGGCCAGGAAGGAAATGACAAAGCGCATGGTTTGCGGAAGATCGTGGAGAAAGCGGAGCAGAGTGGACCAGGAGGTAACAGCTCTGGGCCGCTGAGGTGCGTAGTGACAGCCCCATCCCTCTGGCTTCCTCAAAATTTCAATCCTAATTTTCTGCTAATACCTTCTCATTCTAAGAGTAGAATACTCTGATTTCGCTTTTCAGAGAACAGAGACCCAGAAATTTGACTTCAGAAAAAATTATATGTATGTAAAAGGAATCTTGCCAAGTTACCTAAAAATACGTGAGATAAAACCTCCAGGAAAGCAGTCGTAGCATCAATTGGGTATTGGTACAATTCACCCGGTCCTTACTTTTCCCTAACGAGGTCCCCAAAGAGCCTTTCAGATTCTGAACAGTGTGAACAGTGAGCAGAGACGTGGAGAGCCAAGTCCAGACGGTGCAAACTAATTGTGTTGTTTGTTAGCTCTCAGTTACCTGTTACCGGAGAGAGAAGCCTGAAAGAACATAGTGCTAATGAAGAGACCCAAGATGAGAGGATTGCTCTGTTGAGTGTATGTATGTTTCTCCTATGATCCTTGAATACACTTAGTGTACAGACCAGCAGTACCTGATGTACCCCAGATGAAAGTATAATATGGTCTGTGTTCTATAGAGACTACATAGCTTTCTAATGTTTTTATAAACACCAATATAATGTCTTTAGACAGCGTCTTGAATTTCTGATTCTGACAGATTCATAGCCATGCGTTTTCGTTGTTCTCACCCTTGACAAAAATTTTAGAAATGTCTGTCACTGGCTAATTTTCTGCGTTACAGATATAAAACATTTTTTAATGTTCCTTATGTTTGGTAGCACTTAAATATTTTAAAGGTATTTTCATATTTTCCCATTAACAACTAGAAACAGGATTTGTTACCATTAGAATATTATATAACTTCTTGATCTACTGTATTTCATGTGGATTCTGTATTTTAAAGATGTATAGCAGTAGCTTAGAGAAACTCAGATTTTAAAACTTGTTTGTGACTCTTCTGACATTGGCATTAAATTTGATAGTTGTGTTCCAGTGTTTAAATTTCATTTTCCTCTATAACATGTTTTGGGGAGGCAGGCAGTTTCAACAAAAAGCATTTTTTAAAAAGGCTTTTACCCCAAATTATAACAGTGTTAAGTGTACCTTGTAGATGATTCAGACTATGCAAAAAAAGTGTTTAAGCATTTTCTTCTAATTTTTGTATATTTCTTTCCTTTTTTTGGTCTGTGTCTTTTTTTTTTCATTTCACATATTGTTATATATTCCTTTAACATTAAATAGTCTTCAAAATATGATTTTTATTGTCTGCATAGTGCTCTGTCTTATAGAAAGGTATATTGTAATTTGTAGAACTGTTTTGCTGTGGTTGGATGATTCAGATCATTTCTAAGGTTTTGCTGTTGTAGATATCATTGGACATCCTACTACAGAAGTTTTTTTGGGGTACCTCAGATTGTTTTCCTAAGACAGATACTTTGCAGTGGATCAAAGGTTGGATCATGTTCAAAGGTTTTGATTCATGTTCACAAATTGACACCATCTTATCTGAAACTTTTTTAAAAAGTCCACAATATTATATTTTAATATTTATTTTCAGATTTAATATTAAATATAAGATTACATCTGTGATCAATAGCTGAAAGACTATTATACTTATGAAACTAATAGTATATGAAGTTGACATTAGTTTTTCATTTTCAAAATAACCAAGTCAATGTGATATAATATTGTAAGATAAAAATATTCAATCTCATAATTTGTACTCTTTCTTTAATTGTTATTTCACATAGGACTCAGTGACTGATGACCTCCATGTTGACAGTAGTTCATCAAATAGTGAACTAGTATCAGGTAAGACTGTCAAATGTGAACTCCCTCAATTATCTTTTCTACAAACATAAGCATCCATTTGTATCTCTTCCATCTCTCCATCTCAATGGAAGAGGTGTCTTTCTCCTAGTTCAAGGTGAATCCTTCTGCCTGTGCTGACCTTCATCCTCAGTCTTCACACACACACCAGTAAATTACAGTTGTGATACATGCTGCAAAAGAGAGACTGACTTTAGTGTAACTAATCAAGTTTTAGTTAGAGAGATTAGGGAAGGCCTCCATGAGGGAATGGTGATTTAATTGAAATCTTAAGAAGAGTAGATATTAACTATGGAAAGAGATGAGTAAAGAGCAATCCAGGCAGAGGAAACAGCATGTGTAAGGATCCTAACATGGGACTGAATGTTATGTGTTCAGTAAACTGAAAGAAGGAAGAAACTGGAAGAGAAGAGGAGGAAATGTGATAATAAGTCAAGGTTAGACAGACAGGAGAGGTCTTGTGTAGCCTTGCAGACCATGTCAAAGTTATTGGTGTTTATCTTTGGTGCAGCAGGAAGCCACTGAAGTCTTTTAAATAGAGAATGATATGATCACTTTAGGTACAGTATGGAAAGAAGTAGAAGTGGATGCAAATAGACCAGTTAGGAGGTGATTGCAGTAGTTTAGGGAAGAAATGATAGCACTTTGTACTAATGGATGACATTGGAAATGGGAAAAAGTGGGCAAATATGATTGCTAATTTAAGGAAGTAAAACTGACAGAATTTTGCAAATGAAGAGTGAAGGAAATGGAAGTATCAAAGATAACACCTGTTTCTGGCTTGCATAACTGGATATATAAGATGGTGCCATTCACTGAAAAAAACCTTGTGTGAGGCAAAGATCGTAAATTTCATTTTCAGTATATTAAATTATGGGCACCTCTATGATGACTAAGTAGCAATGTCAAATAGGCAGTTGGGTATGGAGGGCTGCTGATAGAAATTTGTGAGCCACCTGCATATTAGTGTAATTGAAGTTGTTTTTGAAAACAAGGAAGGATTCCATCAGGACACCAGAAATACTGAGGAATTCTTAAAAGCATATGAGATCAGATTAATGAATATATCAAGGGCAGAGAAAAACCACTGCAGAGCTAAGAATAGTTCTAGAGATAACTGAAATGCTTAGTCAATAAATGTAAAAAACTATAATAGAAGGGACCTTAAAGGAAGTGTCAAGATGATAGAACTCTAGTATAAAAGTTGACATTAGCTTTTCATTTTCAAAATAACCAAATCAGTGTGATATAATATCTATTCCTAGATTAAGCACTAAATGTCCTGGCGTCCTCTCCTCATTCCCTTCTTGCTGAAAACACTGGCAGCTACCAGTGCCTGTTGCCAGGATGAAACCCTGGGATCTACTCCCAAGCGAAGTGAACTAAGGGGTTGGCTCCTGAGGGCCAATGTTGGTGCTGGAGTGAGAAACAGAGGAGAGTCTGAAGTAAATCCAGATACTGCAAGGGTAGCAGAGGGAGAAAAAAGGAAAAGACATAGATTTTACTTATGCTTGTAAGGATAAAGATATAGTATGGCTCTCTGAAGTGGGAATTCTGATACAGGAGACTTCCAGAATGAACACTAGCCAGACAATTAGGGCAGTGTCCCCCTTTAACCTACAATACCTAGAAAATACAGGGGGATGCCCTCCCCCCAAACATAAATCCCCAGAATGTCTTAATCACTCTTCTAAAATCTCCAGAATTAGGCTACAGATTTTATACTCACTGCCATACAGAGACTCTAAAATAGAAATATGAACAGACAACCAGGAACAGCCAAAATTTGGAGAAAACCGGTGCCATGGAAGAGAGGCAACAAATGCAACAAACAGGACTAACACCTGAGGAAATGGCAGAAAACTTGAAATCTCCCTTTAGCGATAATAGGCCATGAATCCATAATATAACAGGCTACTATAAAAAAAATTATAGGGCCGGCTGAGTGGAGCATTGGTTAAGAGCTGGCTTGGTTAAGACACTAGCTCTGAGCAGCAGGGTCCAGGTTCGGATCCCACATGAGGGCCAGTGACGCTGCCCTCTACAGCTAAGATGAACAACAGCTCGACCTGGAGCTGGGCTGCTATGAGTCGCCGGCATCGGTGTAGGCTGCAGTGAAGCTGCAGTGGGCTGTCATAAGCTACCGTGAGTGGCTGGCAGCTGGCATGAACAGCCGGCAGCCAGTGTGAGCTGCCAAAAGCCGCTGTGAGCAGCCATCCAGTGGCTGGTGACTGATATGCCTCACCTGGGAAGAGCGCAATGCTAATACCAACATGGGCCAGTGAAGCGATGTCCTCCACAACTAGACTGAAGAAAATAGGACAGCAACTTGTTGTCCTCTTTCCCCATTCCTCAATGCTGTTCCCCTCCCCCAATTCCCCAATAAAATCTTTTAAAATAAATAAATAAATAAATGAGCCTAATATTGAATGAATTCAGCTGAAAATCGAATTAGCAAGCTAGAAGATAGGATAGAGAACTTTTTCCTAGACTGTAGTACAGAAGAACATGGGAGGTGCTCAACAAATGCTTTTTTCTCCTCCCTCTTTTTTTTTTGGTCTGGTTAACTACTATTTGTTCTTCACAAATAAATTCAGGTGCTATCTCTTCTGGGAAGCCTCTGACCGCTCTTCTCTCTTTCTACATGAGTTTTCCTATATTGATAGTTCTGTGGCATTCTTTGTACACTTCTGTCATAGAACTCAAAACAATAGTATAATTGTTTTTGTTCCTTTTGGCTCTAAAGCCATTGAGAATAGGCACTACCTTTTATCTTCCTATCCCATCCTTGGGACATAATATAGTTTCAAATACTTACTGAATGAGTTTTTTCTATTTAGAGAAAATAAACCATTTAATGATAATATTTTCTAAACTTGTAGTTTAAATATATGATAAATGTCCTTGCTTAGTAGATTTATCAAGTTAATGTGTGAAAGGTATAAGGAAATAGAAAATAGACTATCTCTAATTCAGAAAACTGCTTGTAAGAAACTGCTTGTAATCTAAGAGTTCATTTGTTGATTGATATTTGAAACCTGGAATGCTTTTTCTCATAATAAAATATAAATGGTTAGGTTTTCAGCAGCCTATAGAATTAATTCTATTTAACATATAATTATTTTAATTCTATCTTGGAATCTAGTGATTTTGCAATATGATGAAAATTAATTCAGGACTTCATATTTAATGTGCAAGATTGAACATACACATTTACTTCTCCCTTCTGAAACCTCACTGAAATATCAATAAACATATAAAGAAGGCGAGAAGCCATAAGGTGGAGAAAAAGAGAGACCTCAGCTGACAATAGATAATCAACAAGTTTGGAATCTGGAAGGTAGATAAATAAATCATAATTGCCCTAACAGACAAAAAATGAAGGAAGGGAGGGAGGAAGGAAGAAAGGAAGGAAGGAAAGGAAGAAAGAAAGATGCTGGGGGGAAAAAAGAGGGCACCTAGAGTAAGAACAGACCAGGAAGCAAACTGACTTCGACTGTAGGTTCAAGAATTAGAGACATCACATATTCCTGAAAGAATGGTTATAGATAGTCTTGAAAATAAGAGGATTTGGGCAAATCTTTAAATAAAGCAGTTAGATACTTTGATCCCTTCCCCAACACTGTGTCCAGGCAACCACTCTTTTTTCCACTCTGGCAGTCCAGAGACTTTGAAGCAGAGTCTGGACTTAGGGATGCTGGGTACTGCTCAGGGCAGGTGTGCTATTTTGAAAACTGACAGTGGGGATGGGGGGAAGGAGGGGAGGGAATTGGTAAAATTCATATATTTGGTGGCAAAACCTCCAGACCCCTTGTCCTACTCAGGAAAATACACCCAAACTAGGAGACTGGAGGATTTCTCTTTGGGAAACTTCTCTGTCCAGGAGAAGACCTATATTCTGGCAGTAATGACCTGGTTCCTGTATAAATACCCTTCAGTAAAGCTCACTACTTCCTAAACTCCACTCATAAATCCGGTTTCCAACTGTTATTTTAGTACCTCATTCTTGAACATTAAAGAATTACCAGGCATTGAAAGAAAACATTTAAAATAAAAGAGATGCCAAATATAAAGAAACTTGAAGGACACAGACAATGCAAGGAAAAGAAAACTTTTAAAAGCCATATTTTTATTATTATCCTCAGGATGATAAAAAATGTATATAAAACAAGTGCAGGCTGCTATAAAAAGGAACAGAAAACAAAAAGAATTCTTGAAAAATAAAAATATAAAATCATAAATATAATATTCTATGAAGATTTAGATGATGAATTTAAGGAAATATTCCAAAAGTTGAACAAACATAAAAGAAAGAAGTTAAAAATTGTGGCATTGGTGACACAACTCTTATTAAATTGTATACTTTAAAAGGTTATTTATGAAATATGAATTTTATTTCAATAAAGCTGCTATTTAAAAAAGAAAAATAATTAGAAGATGAGTCCAGGCATCCTCACATCTTGAAAAATAGTAGTTCCAGACATTGTGAACACAAGGGAAATTATTATACACATAAAACTAGAATTTTTTCTAAAATTAGACATGATCATGAGTGTACATGCTGAGAGAGCCCACCTACTGCCCATTACAGTGAATGAAGAAAGACCCACAAGAAGGCATATGTAATTTGAAAATCCTCAGGACAAAGAAAACCTTCAGTCTTCCAGAGAAATAATTGTTGATTGCAAATAAGCAATCAAGAATATGAATAGCATTAAACTTCTCAAGAGCAACTCCAGAAGCTAGAACATGGTGGAAAAATGCATTTAAAATTCTGAAGAGAACTGATTTTGCAGAGACAGGATGGGTCCCCACCCAAAATTTGGTTCTGATTTCAGAACTGATGATGTCACCATACCAAGAGGTAATGGAAAGGATTATTATTCATATAATGAGGCTTTCTGGAGTAGAGGGCATTCATATGATGAGGCTTTCTGGAGTAGAGGGCCTCTCCCAAGCAGGCCTGGAAATGGCTTGAGAAAGTGGAGAAAGGAGACTGGATTGGGGTTTTTATGTGGTTAGAGGATGGGGCTGGGATGAATTTACCTGTGCATGTTTTTGCCACCATTGTCAAAAGATGGAGTACCAGGGCTTTCTTACCAGTTTGCCCAGATGTGGGGCAGAAGGGGAAGAGGGAGCAGTGAAGTTTTAATCTGTCAAACATCAAAAAGTGGAATTGGTCTTACTAATATATTAGTCTGGAATTCTGTAGCCAGCCAAACAATCACTGAAGTGTGAAGATAGTATAAAGAAGTTTTTAGACAGTTCTTTCAAGCACCATTCCTCAGGAAATGAAGGACATACTCCAATAAAACCAGAGTAAATCAATAAAGAAGAAATCATGGGATCCAGGAATCAAAGGCTCTAATACAGGAAATATATGAAAGAATTTCTTAGGAGAATGGTAAAGGGAAATCCAAAGAAGACACCTGTGCACCATGTCTAGGGGACAACCAGTCCAAATGTGAGCTAGTGTATTGAGATGTCCAATTGCAATACTTGTTTTAAAAATAAAGGAAAAAAGAAGGGAGGAAAGAGAGGAGAAAAAGAAGAGAGGGAGGAAGGAAGAAAGGTAAGGAAAGGAAAAGAAAGAAAAAAGAAACTCAGATAATTTGGTATCTTTTAAAGTATTGAGAGGAAATTATGTTTTTGCAAGCAAGTTGAGATGAAATGGTGATAGGTACTTAGAAAACTAATTTTAGCATTAAGTAATCAAGAAAAAAACAGACTTGTAGCAAAAGTTATTCATATAGCTCATAGTACATGGCTCAGCTGTAAATACATTTGAGCGGTCATAATAATAGAATTGTTGAATACATTTAAATTAGAAATTAAAGGTAGATATTAAAAGAAACAGTTAAGGGCCTGCTGAGTGGCGCGTTGGTTAAGAGTTGGCTTGGGATGCCAGCTCTGAGCAGCAGGGCCCTGGTTCGGATTCCATGTGGGCCAGTGATGCTGCGCCCTCTACATTTAAGATGGTGAACAACAGCTCGACCTGGAGCTGGGCTGCCATGAGTCACCAGCGCCAGCGTAGGCTGCAGTGGGGCTGGTTGGCAGTGGGCATGAGCTTTCGTGAGCTGCTGTGAGCTGCCGTGAGCAGCCATGAGCAGCCATCCAATGGCCAGCGAGCGACTGCCTCTCCCAGGAAGAGTGCAGTGATAATACCAACATGGACCAGTGAAGCGACATCCTCCACAACTAGACTGAAGAACAAAAGGACAGCAACTTGGGGCTGGCTCAGCTAAAAAAAAAAAAAAAAACAAGGACAGCAACTTGTCTGTTCCCCTTCCTTGATTCCCCAACACTGTTCCCCTCCCCTAATTCTCCAATAATAAAAAATGTTTAAAAAAAGAAAGAAGTTAATTGAGTTAAAAGTAGTTGTTTTTAGAGAGTAGGGAATTATGATGGGAAGGTATGAGACAAGAGATTGTTGTTTTTGTTATCAGCGTTGTAGAACTATATGACTTAAAAACTGTATTGTATAATTTAATATAAATGTATTTTAAATGCATTTACATTTCTAACTTGTGACACCAGAAACAACCTTTCTCTGATATAGCCATGAATATTTACTTATTCTTTTCTCTACCCAACAACCCAGATAGTGAATATGGAGCTTTCCTAATTTCTGAGCCTGGGTTGAGTTCTGGGGTTTGGTGGAAGAGATAGCTCTCCTGTGAGTGATATTCATGGAATTTTGAGAGATGGAAGGCGAGAAAGATGTAACAACATGTGGGTGCAAAGGATGGAGGTCCGAGTGAGAAGAGTAAAAAGGAGCAAGTACAGGGATAGGATATTCTAAGGCAGTTGGAGTAGGGGAAACAAAGATACTCAGAGGGATAACCTATCTCTGACATCTGAGTAGGTGAAGAAGGATGGTATTATAGGTTGGGTCAATAATTTAAGTGTTGCAGTGGTGTCAGGAGGAAGTTGTCAGGAAACAATTGTCAGCTTTAAGGAGGGGGCTGGAATGGGAGAGAAAGGTGTGATGAGTTAAAGTAGGAAGGATAGTTAGTTCTCTCAGGTAGGTAATAGACGGGCAGAGTTAGGCATAAGTCAGCTTCAGAACAGGAGGTAATATAATAGGTTTTCAGAGCAATGCTCCCCTTTCATCCCTTAGTCCCACCCCACCAGTTTCTATAATGTTGACCTGTTTTGTCATGTTGGGAGTGTTTAATAAATGCTGACTGACTATAGCAGTGTATGTTTTCTCTTTTCTTACTGAGCTCTCTGGTTCTTAACTTGTACTAAGTTCTAGCCCTGTAATTTATTGGAAAATTTTTCATTCTAGTCCACTCTCATAAGGATGACTCTATGACCTGTAAGTCTGGGAGGTTCTCTGTTCAAATATTTTGCCCATTTTCTTAATGAGATATTTGGTTTTTTTAATATTGAATTTTTAGATTTCTTTGTATTCTGGAGTCCAGTCCATTTGCAAATGTTTTCTCTTAGTTTGTGGCTTGTCTTTTCATCTTAATCTCTTTTGAACAGAAGTTTTTAAATTTGATGAACTTCAGTTTACCATTGCTAGTGTTTTATAACTCATCCTTTTAGTGTTATATCAAAGAAATATAACTAACTCAATGTCATGAAGATTTTCTCCTCTTTTTTTTTTCTGGAAGTTTTGCAGTTTTAGGATTTCCATTTAGGTCTATGATCCATTTAGTGTTAATATTTTTATATGATGGAAGGTATGAGTGTAAATTTTTGTTTTGCTTTTGCATATGGATATCCAATTGTTTCAGCATAATTTTTTTAAAAGAATATCCTTTCTCTGCTGAATTGCCTTGGTCAAAAATCAGTTGATCATATGTATATGTGAGTCCATGGGCTCACTATTCACTACGCTCTCTATTCATTTCATTTGCTCTATTTGTCTATTTTTAGGCTCATTGTTTTTTAAATGGAATAACTAAAATCACCTTTTTTTCTTTTTAGTTAGCTTATAGTTAGTGGGTTACTTATATATAAAACTTGGATTTTTGAGTCAAGAATCACAATTCAACCAAAGTAATAGGAAGGAATAAGTTATAAAAGTTTGAAAAATAATGGGAAAGAATTATAATGCATTTTCTGTACATTTTCTGAGATTTTCTAAGATGTAATTATTTTCTAAGATTGAAATTAAAATGGTATAGAAATAGGATGACTTTTCATTTGTATGTGGAAGTAATTTTACATTTTAGCATACAACTGTATGTGCATTTCTATAAATTTGAATTCTTGAGATTTTGAATCTGTTCATTGAAACATTTTTATCATTTTTGTTTGTTTATTCTACAGAAGTAAGTTTGCAGCATAACAGTTCTAGTTCTCTTCTGAGTTATTCAATCACAGACTCTTACACAGAATACAAGAGTTCTGAAGAGAGTTTAAGGAGCTTCTCATCACCTGAACTCTTCAGAGGGTCAGATTATTCAGGTGAGAAAATAATATCAACCTTAAGTTGCTTCACTATATAAATTGTTTCATTGTACACAGATCCTCCAGTGAATAATGTTCTTTTTGAGAAGGTGTATTTATTTTCCTCACCAAAACCTCCTTTTCACTCTTCAGCCTTGGAGTTGGCCATGTGACTTGCTCTGGCAATAGGATATCAGTGACTAAAACATATGCAAACCTTTGAAATATGCTTAAATGGTTGGGTTTATCCTCTTACACTTTTGCCATCATGAAAAGAATATATCCTAATCAGCTTCTGCCTCTCCTATGGGACCCTGAATGAGATGTACAGAGAAGATTAGCCCCAGGCAGAGCAGATTAGCTCCAGGCAACCTGCACAGTGCAGAGAGCTGTCCCACTTGATCAGCAGACCTGTAATCTGAAGCAGAGCTGCCTGAGCCAACCAGTAGACATGGGAATAAGAAATAAATGCTTTCATTTTATGCCACTGAGATTTTGGGGTTATTTATTATACAGAAAAAGCCAACTTCTTCAGATACTGTATTGTACACAGAAGAGGGGGAATTAAATTGTACATTCTAAATTGTAGGACGTGCTCACCCAATGTCTATTCCCATCCCAGCCCAAGAGCTTATTTCTCTGCTCAGTTTCCAGAATATTAGCACCCAGACTTGAACCTTCCAGTCAGGAGAATGGAAGATATTTTCTTGAAAACTCTGAACAATCTTAAAGAAAATATCTAAAGATACTGACCTCAGTAGTCCTTCGATGAAACTGACAAGAACACCGTGCAGTGAAGCCAACTATGTGACAAGCCACAAGTAGGCCATAGAGATTCCAATTAGCCTCTTAGGGCCCACTCTTAGATCTGAGCAGAAAACCAAAGACCATCATACTTCTGGGGAAAGCCTCTAACATAAAACAGAGATCAAAACAAAGCAATATATGGGAATGACATCAGAAAGGTTTTGGAATAGGAAGCCATAGACCCTCCTTCCCTCATGAACACACCAATTCAACAGCAATGCATATACTAATTCCATTTGTGAGAAATCTAGATGCTAGTTGAGAGGCTTCTGAACCCCAAGCAAGCATGAATCCAGCCACATCAAATCCAGAAGGAATATTCAAGACACCCTGTCACTGTAAACCCTTCCCCCAGCACAGCACCATATAATAGGCAGGGAATCCCCAGCTCCCAGCTCTCCCTGGGGAGGGAAGGAGAGGACTGAACTGTGTGTCAAATGTTTCAAATTTTCTCGGAGCTACCCAAAGGACTGGATACTGTCTTGCCTCTTTCAGAGTGCTGATGGAACCTGACATACTCTAGAATCCTGATGGGCACTGAGAACAAAGATAGTAGTTTGGTCTAGCATGCAAGTATTCACTAGATCCCAGCTTCTCTCTTGGAAGGGGAAGAGATGGACTGTGTATCCAACATTTCTGGGAGCTGCCCAAGCAAATGGCTTCTGTCTCACATGTCTCAGAACACTGATGGGACCTGCTATATTCTAGGTACCTGGTGGCCACTAAGAACAGAGGTGGTAGTTTAGATGAGTATGAAGGTTTGAGAGGATCCCAGAATTTCTGGTTGGGCTGATTGGTGAGAGTCCTTTGTTAGAGGCCAGTCCATGAAGACTGGGAGGTGGCTATTTTTTCTAATGTGCAGTTACCAACACAGAGAATCAAACAAAAAAGAAGAAACAAGGAAACATAGTAAAAAAAAAATAATAAAGAGGAATAAGATAAAGCTCCAGAAACTAACAATGATTAAATGGAGATACATATAAATTACCTTACAGAGAAGTCAAAATAATCACCATAAAGGTGTTCGATGAGCTCAGGAGAAGAAGTTAGAATTTCTAGAAAGATGTAAAAAAATTTTTAAAGAATCAAGCAGAAATCTTAGAGCTAAGGAAGACTATAACTGAACTGAAAGAACCAATAAAGAGGTTCAACAGCAGACTAGATCAAGCAGAGGAAAGAACTGGTGAACTTGAAAATAGGTCATTTGAAATTATTAAGTCCAAAACCTCAAATAAGATGAACAAAAGAAATCTACACTGAGACACATAATCAAATTGTCAAACATCAAAGAGTTTTGAAAGGAGCAATAGTAAAGTTACTTGACATGTAAAAGGGAATCCCTCATTAAACTATCAATGCATTTCTCATTAGAAACCTTACAGGCCAGAAGGTAGTGTAATGATATAGTGCAGAAAGAAAAAAACTATCAATCAAGAATACTATAATCAGCAAAACTGCCCTTAAAAAATTGGAGATAAAGACAAACAAAAGCTGAAGGGGTTAATCACCATTAGATGTGACTGACAAGAAATGCTAAAGGGAGCTCTGCAAGTTGAACAAAAGACTCTAAACAGCAACATAAAAGCATATTGAAGTATAAAACTCCCTGGTAAGTATGTAGACAAATACAGAATACTTAGTGCTGTAACAGTGGTATATAAATTGCTTTTAATTCTAATATAAAAGTTAAACTACAAAAGTATTAACAATAACTATAAAATATATTAATAGGTATATAAATAAAAAGACATAAATTGTAACATCAATAACACAAAGTGTGTGTGAAGAGAAAAGTAAAAATGTATAGTTTTTGATTGAAGTTGTTATTAGCTTAAAATAGACTGTTAAAACTATGTTTTAGATCTAAGCCCCATAACCACAAAGAAAACACCTATAGAAGATACACAAAAGAAAAAGAGAAATGCATCAAAGCATATCAATATTAAAAAAAACATTAATACACAAAAATGGTAAGAGAGGAAAAGAGGGGCAGAAGGACCACAAAAACAAAACAATTAACAAAATGGTAATAGTAATGTCTTTCCTATCAATAATTTAAATGTAAGTGGATTAAATTCCAATGAAAAGACAGTGGCTGAATGAATTAAAAAAAAACACATAAAAAAAACAAGATCCAGGGCCGGCTGAGTGGCGCATTGGTTAAGAGTTGGCTTGGGACACCAGTTCTGAGCAGCAGGGCCCCGGTTCAGATCCCACGTGAGGGCCAGTGATGCTGCACCCGCTACAGCTAAGATGGTGAACAACAGCTCGACCTGTAGCTGGGCTGCCATGAGTTCGCCAGCAATGGCTTAGGCTGCAGTGGGGCTGGCCAGCAGCTGGCGTGAGCTTTCGTGAGCTGCTGTGAGCTGCCGTGAGCGGCCATCCAATGGCTGGCAGGTGACTGCCTCACCCAGGAAGAACACAATGATAATACCAACATGAGCCAGTGAAGCGACATCTTCCACAACTAGACTGAAAAACCAAAGACAGCAACTTGTGTGTTCCCCTTCCCCGATCCCCCAATGCTGTTCCCCTCCCCTAATTCCCCAATAAAAATCTTTAAAAACAAACAAACAAAAAAACAAGATCCAACCATGTGCTGTCTACAGAAGACTCACTTTAGATTTAAGCACACAAATATGCTGAAAGTGAAGGGATGGAAAAAGACATTCCATACAAATGGAGACAAAAGAGAGCAGAAATGGCTATACTTAGATAAAATCTACATAAAGTTAAAAACTATCACAAAAGACAAAGAAGGATATTATGTAATTATACAAGGGTCAATTCACCAGGAACATATAACAATTATACATAAATATGCACCCAATATTAGAGTATCTAACATATCAAGCAAACACTGAAGTAACTGAAGGCAGAAATAGGCATCAATACAATAATAGGAGACTTCAGTAATCGACACTTCTTGATTTCAAGTATATTGCAAATTATATTTTACAGTACTTACAATAGTGTGGTATTGGCATAAAGACAGACATATAGACCAGTAGAACAGAACAGAGAGCCCAGAATTAAATTCATGTGTATATGGTCACCTGATCTTCAACGAGGATGCCAAGAATACACAATGAGGAAATGATAGTCTCTTCAACAAATGATGTTGGGAAACTGGATATCCAAATAACAAAGAAATGAAATTGGACTCTTAACCTTATACCATACACAAAAACCTACTCAAAAGACTTATCAGAAACTGTAAAACTCTTTAGAAGAAAACATAGGGGAAAATCTTCATGACATTGGTCTTGGCAATGATTTGTTGGATATGACACTGTAAGCACAGGTAACAAAAGTGAAAGTAAACAAGTGGGACTACATACAACTAAAAAGCTTTTGCACAAGAAAAGAAACAACCAGCAGTGAAAAGGCAACCTACAAAGTGGGAGAAAATATTTGCAAACCACATACCTGATAAGGGATTAGTATCTAAAATATATAAGAAACTCCTTTAACTCAGTAGGAAAAAGACGACAACAAATAACCCAATTAAAAAGCAGACAAAGTACTTGAATAGACATTTCCCCAAAGAAGACCTACAGATGGCCAACAGGTACATAAAAAGACATTTAACATCATTATCAGGGAAAAGCAAATCAAAACCACAATGAGCTATTGCCTCACACCTATTAGGATGGTAATTATTAAAAAAAAAAAAGGTAAGTGTTAGCAAGGATGTGGAGAAAGGAATCCTTGCATACTTTTGATGGAAATGTAAAATGGTGTAGCTACAGAGATTCCTAGAAAACTTAAAAATAGAACTACCATATGATCCAGCAATCCCACTTCGGGGTCTTTATCCAAAATAAATGCAATCAGAATCTTGAATACATATTTGCATTTCCATGTTCATTGGAGCGTTATTCACGATATCCAGTATGGAAACAACCTAAGTGTCTATTGATGAATGGATAAAGAAAATGTGGTACATACATACAATGGAATGATTTTCAGCCTGAAAAAAGTAGGAGATCCTACCATATGACAACATGGATGAACCTTGAGGAAATTATGCTAAGTGAAATAAGCCAGTGACAGAAAGACAATTACTGTATGATTCCCCTTATATGAGATATCTAAAATAGTCAAATTCATAGAAGTAGTAGAATGTTGGTTTCCAGGGCCTAGGGAAAGGGGGAAATGGGGAGTTGCTATTTGACTTGTATAAAGTGTCAGTTATGCAAGATGAATGTGTTCCAGAGATCTGTACAACATTGTGCTTTTAGTTAACAATACTGTACTGGACACGTACAGATTGAAGAGGGTAGATTTCACTTTAAGTGTTCCTACCACAATCAAATAAAAAAAATTAAAAGATTAAAGGTGGGCCAGCCGAGTGGCTCAGTTGGTTAAGAGCTCGCTCAAGACTTTGAGTTCTGAGCAACAGCGGTTCAATTCCTGGCCTGAGCTGAGCTACCGCTGAGGTGCCAACAGGTGGCAGGATGGCTCAGCTAAAAAAACAAAAAACAAGAAAGATTAAAGATTAAAGGAACCAAGCAGAAATAGAAACACAAGGAGAGGAATATTGAAGAAAAAAAAAAGGTCTTCACTGAGATAAGAAAGTATATATTGCATCCATTAAGTAGAAATAGGCTGCTATAAAAAAAGAATATTCAGCAAACAAATTAAATGCAATAGCAGAATTGAAAACTCTATAAAGGTTAGAAGATAAGACTGAGGAGATTTCCCAGGAAAAAAGAGTCAGAAGGGGAAAAAAATAAAAAAAAATAAAGATTGCAATTTGGAGAAGAAAAGTTAGAAAAGCAGTATGTGAAATCGAATATCAAATAACAGGAGTTCCAGAAAAAGATAATGAAATAAACAGAGGGAAGAAAATTATCAAAGGAATAATTCAAGAACATTTTCTAGAGCTAAAAAATAAGATTTTTGGGTTTAAAGAGCCACAACGTACCTTGTACAATATATGAAAAACACCACGATAGAGCATTGTGAAACTTCAGAATGGGATAAATACTGGGTTGTCAGAAAAGTCGTGATGTATTTTGTCTATGTTTTTCATTGCAAAAATGTGACATAACTTTTCCAACAACCCAATAGAATGGATATATACAATTTCGTAGAGTTGGGATTAAATCAATGAATAATACAGAGAAAATGAAAATAAAAGACTTGTATTGACTTTAGGAAAACCAAAAGGTGGTCATGGTATACCACAAGAGTATATAGCATTTTTATCATCATGATGTCTACATTGAATATCGATCTAACTAAATATGTGATGTAATAGTTTGAGGCCAATGGGAAGTGTGGGAAAGGTGAGAGCAAGGGGATATAAGAGAGACTAGCCTCATTCTTTCATCGTGGGACGTTAATGGAAAACTTGAAACTGATATCAAGAAATAGTATGTTATTTAATGATATGATAATTAATGGGACATAGGTATAACTTATACATAAAATATGAGAGGCAGCTCCCATGTATGCTGTCTGTTCCTTAGGTCAATAATTTTCATGGACAAAGTCTATGAAAGAAAGTGGGTTAGAGTGGCAGAATAGGCCAAAGTTTCTTTACTATCCTGATGTCATCAAGGCTTGTATTTTTTCTCTGTCTCACCCCAAACCTTCAATTACCATACCTGGGTATGGACAGGAGACCTAAGTTGGAGGAGGTAAAGGTAACCTGCCCCTGTGTGCTGTTGTTCACAGTTTTGTGCCATTTTCCCCTGTTTTTTTAGATTGGGAGTGCCCCAAGTTGGAAGGACACCTCCAACACAAGAATTCCACTCTTCTGGATACCAGTAAAGCAGTAGCAATAGAGAAGGTACCACAGTTTCTAAACCTTTCTTCAATTTTAGGTGAGTTTCCATATGCTTTTTTCTCATATCACAGGGAAAACCCACATCACCTGATTAAGGTGGTGTCTGCTGGTTTTCTCCACTGTATCGTTACTAGTTTCTCTTTATAGTTAATAAATATCTAGAAAAAGGTAGTTTGAAATTCTGTAAATCCTGTCTCTCCTCAAACTTGCATTCACTGGTATTACCAGTCATCAGAAGAACTTGACTTCAACAGTTATTGCTGTGGTGTTCATCTGTCTGATTTTCTACTTCATTCTTTCCTGTTACATTTATTAATTGGAATTTTGCTGTAAAAGAACTGTCCCTTTTCTGCCATTTATTCAATTATTTATATCAGTATCGACTTATGTATATTTATTTTGTTTTATAGGTTAAAATCCAATACTTTCATTATTTATTTACTTATGTATTTAATTCCAGTATACACAGAAACAAGTTTTATAATTGTTAACCCAGACCCCTGTGAGAAACACATTTACTAAATAGATTAAAGCAATTTTGTCTTGAGCATTACAATATCCAATCAAAACACTGTTTTCCAAAGTTATGTAGGTTAGTTATTTTCTTCCCCTCCTCTTTCAGTGCAGTTATTATTCACTTGAAATATAGTTAGATTCATTTGTTAGTGTTGGGTTCAATTTTTGGTTCCCCCATCCTGTTTTGTTATGTTTATTTATTTGGGGTGGAGGTCTATATGAAGATATGTGAAACATTATTATGGTTCTAAGAGACATAGCTATACAAAAAAATGTTCTCAGAAAAGTATAGCTTCTTCCTTCTTCGTGTCTGGATGGCAGTATTTTTAACAGTATTGAAGGCCTTATCGTCTGTGTTATGTTTAGTTTGGCAACTTTGCTGATATAAATTATCCAAAGAGACAATCTGTCTCTTTAGCAAGTATTTCAGTGAGGCTCTTTGTCTACTGCAAATGACAAAAAAAAAAACCTACCTCAAGATATATTAAGTTAAAAATGGAATTCATTACCACACGTACCTGAAAAATCTAGCAGTAAAATCAGATACAGGTACAACTTGATCTAATAGGGTTTCAAATTATATCAATAGGACCCAATTCCTTTCCATCTCTCAGTTCAGAATCCCTCTGTGTCAGTTACTCTCTCAGCCAAGCTCCCTTTGTAGAGCAATCCTGTTTAGCTCCAGGTTTACATACTCACAGCCTCGCATCCATTGAACTAAGTGCTTCTCTTTCCCAATGATTTGAACAGAGGTTTTGGCCCTTATGTATTGGCTTAAATTAGTTCATAAGCCTATCCCTGAACAGTCACTTTGGCCGGGGTGATGCAGGGCTCTTACTGCATTGAGTCACAGGCTATGTCTGGGTCATCAGAAGAAAAAGCAGGAAACTGTTATCAGCAAAAGCAGAGAGTAGATACTGGATGATAAGTATCCATTGTAGTCCTTTATATTTTGGGAACCTCCCTTTCAGGGAAATGGTTTGCAATGATTGGGTGGCACCATTCACTTTAACATGGGATTTTTATTTTATTTTATTTTTAAATTTTATTTTTTTAAATATTTTTTTTTAATTGTTGAGGGGAGCAGCATTGGGAAATTGGGGAAGGGGAACAGAAAAGTTGCTGTCCTTTTGTTCTTTAATCTTGTTGTGGAGGACATCGCTTCACTGGCCCATGTTGGTATTGTCATTGCACTCTTCCTGGGTGAGGCAGTCACTCGTCGCCATTGGAAAGCCACTCATGGCGGCTCAGGGCAGCTCACAAAAGCACACGCCAGCCGCCAGCCAGCCTCTACTGCAGCTTACGCTGTTGCCGGTGACTCACAACAGCCCAGCTCCAGGTCGAGCTGTTGTTCACCATCTTAGCTGTAGAGGGCACAGCGTCACTGGCCCTCAAGTGGGATTGGAACCCAGGCCCTGCTGCTCAGAACTGGCGTCCCCAGCCAACTCTTAACCAGTGTGCCACTTGGCTGGCCCTAATGTGGGGCTTTAAAATTCTAATTTAATGTAAGCAGAGTTTTGCAGCTGCTGATGGTTATAACTCAGAAGACTACACCACTTTTTATATTCCTAGTAATATCCTAGTAAATACCTAGGCAGTAAATGTTGACTGGGAGGCATTCTCTTAACTAATCAATCTACTAATGTGCATATCCATATATATAGTACTTGACTAAGAACCATGAGACCTGAGTTTAAGTTCCAGGTATATAGCTGTTAGTTTTACAACTTGATCAGTTATTTTTTTCTTATATGTAAAACGGGGATAGTTGAAATGGAATGTTTTCCTCACAGAGTTGTTGCAAGAATCAAGTAAGATAACAGACGTAAAAGGATTTCAAAAGTTGTAAAGAACTATCCAGATACAAGGTGATGATTCCCGTGTCTCATAAAATTTTGCAATAATTTTGTTTTACTTTGGCATTTTGGAAATACTTTTGCTAATTTAGATGGCAGACATAAAACACAATATAGAACAATAAAAATAAAAAAGTAAACTACACAATCACCATGTATTTTAGAGGAAATATATATATATATATATATATATATATATATATATATGTATGTATATTTTTTTGAAATATTTTTACCTAGAGTAATTTTAGCCTCTGGTCTGTGTTTGAATTATGTTTCTAATAGATCTCTTTCCTAGGTACTTCTTCAGAAGACTATCAGAAATGCCAGAGAAAAATGTAAGAACTAACATTTTAAAACTTATTATGCTTTTCAAAACCCTGTGTTCTAATAGCTATGAAGAAGGTAGGATTGTTAGTTCCTAAATTCAGGTATTCACTTACTCAGTATTTGTTGAGGACTCACTATGTGTCAGAACTATTCCAGTTGCTGGAAATATAGAGTAGTGAATGAAATTGATTAAAAACAAAATTTCTGTCTTCCTTGAATCCACATTCTAGTTGGAAGATATGGACAATGAACAAATAAGCAAGTAAATTTATACTGTACTATATGGTGATAAATTCTATCGAGAAAAATAATACTAGATAAGGGGATAAAGAGTGTTGGGATTGAGGTTCGATATTTTAAGTAGTGTAGTCAGAGAAGTCTTCGTTGAAAAGGTAACATTTGAGCAGAGACCTAAGTATGGAGATAGACTCACTGTGTGACTCCCTGGAGAGAAGAACATGCCACGTAGAGGGAATAGCTGGAGCAAGGCCCTAAGGCAAGAAGGCCTAGGCTTCTTGAGTGGAGTGAGGGAAGAGGAGAGAGGTAGGAGATGAAATGAGAGAAGTAGTAGGCCTGACCATATAAGGTCTTGTAGGTGAGTATAAGTGAGTTGGAAAATCTTTAAAGGGTTTAGCTGGATGGCGTGATATGATTTATGTTTTAAAAGAATCACCATGGCTGCTGTGTTGAGAATAAACTAGAAATTAGAGAGATTATAGTTAGAAGAGATTATAGTTAGAAGACTGTTGTCTTAATTTTACACAAGAGATGTTGGAATATGGACCAGAATGGTAAGGTTAGAGATAGCAAGAGATCAGATTTTAGATATATTTTGAAAGCAGAACTAACAGGATCTGCTGATAGACTGTCTGGTGGAGTATGAAAGTAGTCAAGGCTGACTCCACAGCTTTGTCTTCAACAACTGGAGGGATGGAGTTGCATTTATTAAGATGAGGAAGACTAAGGAGAAACATATTACTGGGGGAAAATCAAGAGTTTGGTTTGGGGAATGTAGACTGAAGGGTAAGGCGTATGGGAGAGAGATGGTATCTAAGTTCAAGGAGGTGGTCACAGTCTGGACCATGAATGGCCTTAAGGGCTGAGATTTTTATTTTATCCTGACTGTGATGGGAACCAGTGAAAGATTTTCAGTAGTTCTGTAAAATGTAATGATATTTTGTAACACCTTAATCTTAAAAGGATGAAGGAGTTTATAAAAATCCAGATAAGTTTAAAAACAAAGTCAGGAGACACCATGTAGAAAGTGAAAAGACAACCCACAGAATGAAAGAAAATATATGTATTCAGAATACATAAAGAACTCTTACAACTCAACAATAAAAAGACAAATGACCCAATTTAAAAATAGGCCAACGATCTGAACAGACAAGCTCTTTAAAATAATTACATTCATTTACATTTGCAAGTAAAAAAGTCAGATATTATCTCTTCACATTGATAGATGCCACAGAATGTGCCAATCTACACAGGTTCCGCCTTATACAAGACACATGGCGTTATATTTAGAGAAGATATGCAAATGACCAGTAAGCACATGAAAAGATGTTTGATATCATAATCCAGTAGGGAAATGCACAACTTCAGTGAGATACCACTTCATACCCACTAGAATGGCTATAATCAGAAAGACAGATAATAACAAGTATTGTCTTGAATTTCGAGAAGTTGGGACTTTCATAAATTGCGGTTGGGAATTTGAAATAGTGAAGGTGCTTTGGAAAATAGTTTAGCAGTTACTCAAAATGTTTCCTATGACCCAGGAAACCACTCCTAGGTATGCATGACTAAGAGAAATGAAAACATATGTCCACACCAAATGAATGTTTATGGTAACTTTATTCATAATAGCCAAAAAGTGGAAACAATCCAAATGTCCATCTACTGATGAATGGATAAATAAAATGTGTTGTATCCACAATGGAATATGATTCAACAATACAAGGAAATGAAATTCTGATATATGCTACAACATGGATAAACCCTGCAAATATTATGCTAACCTAAGGAAGCCAGTTATAGAGGACCAGATATTTTATGGTTGTATTCATATGAGATATCCAGAATAGACAAATCTATAGAGACAGAAAGCAAACCTAGTGGTTGCCTAAGACTGGGGAGGTTTGGGAAGAAATGGGGATTGACTACTAATGGGTACAAGGTTTCTTTTTGGAGTGATGAAAGTGTTCTATAATTGATTGTGATGATGGTTGCACAACTCTGAATTATACACTTTAAGTGGGTGAATTGTGTGGTATGTGAATTATATCAGTAAAGCTGTAAAACAAACAAACAAACAAACAAAAAAACACCCCTAACATTAAGACCAAGGAAACCAAGGAAATATATATTTTTTCTTTTAAACATTTTTCAATTACAGTTGACATTCAATATTATTTTATATTAGTTTCAAGTGTACAGCACAGTGGTTAGGCATTTATATAACTTATAAAGTGATCCTCCCAATTAATCTAGTACCCACTTGATACTATACATAGTTATTACAATATTATTGACTGTATTCTCGATGCTGTACTTTACATCATGACTACTTTATAATTACCAATTTGTATTTTTTAATCCTTTCACCTCCCATCCCCCAACCCTCCTCCCATCTAGCAACCATCAGTTTTTTCTCTGTATCTATGAGTCTGTTTCTATTTTGTTTGCTCATTTATTGTTCTTTAGATTCCACATATAAGTGAGATGATATGGTATTTGTCTTTCTCAGTCTGACTTATTTCACTTAGCATAATATCCTCTAGGTCCATCCATGTTGTTGCAAATGGTAACATTTCATTTTTTTTTACAGCAGAGTAATACTCCCATTATATAATATAAATGTACCACAGTTTTTTATTTTTTATTGTGAAATACACATTTTTTAGAATTAGTTTCAGCTGTACAACACAGTGCAATAATTATACTTTTTACCCCTCGAAGTGACAACCCCCCTCCCCCAATCCACCGCCCCACTCCCCCCCCAATATCATACATATCTATTACAATTCCCTTGACTCCACTCCCACCCTATACTCCACGTTCCATGACTGTATACATATATTCACTTATAGTTGACATACAATATTATACAACATCAGCTTCAGGTGTACAGTGCAGAGATCAAGCCTCTACCCCATCCATGATGCGGTCTCCCTAGCAAGACATGTGAACCTGACACCCTACAAAATATTTACAACATTATTATATTCCTCGAACTGTCTTTCATATCCCTGTGGCAATATTGTAGTTAACTATTTATGCTGTCTAATCCCTTCCCCTTCTCCCTCATCCCCACCCCCTCCCAGCTAGCAACCATCAGTTGTTCCTCTATATCTCTGAGACCATTTCTGTTTACTTTGCTCGTTCATTCAGTTTTTTAGATTCCACATATAAGTGAAATCATATGGTATTTGTCTTTCTCCGACTGACTTATTTCATTGGTATAATGCCCTCTAGGTCCATTCATGTCATTGCAAATGGTACGATTCCATTCTTCTTTATAGCAGAGTAATACTCCATTGCATAAATGTACCACAGTTTCTTAATCCAGTCATCTACTGATGGGCATTTCAGTTGTTTCCAAGTCTTGGATATTGTGAATAGCACTGCAATAAACATAGGGGTGCATATATTTTTTTGAATTAGCATCTTGGGTTTCTCTGGATAGATACCCAAGAGTGGAATTGCTGGATCATACGGTAGTTCCATTTCCAGTTTTTTGAGATACCTCCATACTGATTTCCATAATGGCTGCACCAATCTGCAGTCCCACTAACAGTGCACCAGGGTTCCTTTTTCTCCACAGCCTCGCCAGCACTTGTTGTTTGTTGATTTATTGATGATAGCCATTCTGACCTGAGTGAAGTGGTATCTTATTGTGGTTTTTATTTGCATTTCTCTAATGATTAATGAGGTTGAACATTTTTTCATATGCCTGTTGGCCATCTGTATATCCTCTTTAGAGAAATGCCTCTTCATAGCCTCTGCCCATTTTTTAATTGGGTTGTTTGTTTTTTCGGTGTTGAATGAGTGTTTTATAAATTTTGGATATTAACTCCTTATCAGATATATCCTTGGCAAATATCTTCTCCCATTCAGTAGGCTGCCTTTTTGTTTTATTAATGATTTCCTTTGCTGTGAAAAAAATTTTAAGTCATTTATCAGTTCTAACAGTTTTTTGGTAGAGTCTTTGGGATTCTCTCTATATAGTATGTCATCTGCATATAATGACAATTTTACTTCCTCCTTTCTAATTTGGATGCCTTTTATTTCATTTTCTTGTCTGATTGCTGTGGCCAGAACTTCCAGAACTATGTTGAATAAAAGTGGAGAAACTGGGCAGCCTTGTCTTGTTCCTGATTTTAAGGGGAAAGGTTTTAGCCTTTCCCCATTGAGTATGATGTTTGCTGTGGGCTTATCATATATGGCCTTTATTATGTTGACATATGAGCCCACTATTCCCATTTTGCTAAGAGATTTGATCATAAATGGCTGCTGGATTTTGTCAAATGCTTTTTCTGCATCTATTGATATGATCATATGATTTTTGTTTTTCATTTTGTTAATGTGATGTATTACGGTAATTGATTTGTGAATATTGAACCAACCTTGCATACCAGGAATGAATCCCACTTGATCGTGGTGTATGATCTTTTTTTTTTTTTAAAGATTTTTATTGGGGAATTGGGGAGATGGGAACAGTGCTGGGGAATTGGGGGAAGGGGAACAGCCAAGTTGCTGTCGTTTTGTTCTTCGGTCTAGTTGTGGAGGACGTTGCTTCACTGGCCCAAGTTGGCACCATCATTGTGCTCTTCCCGGGAGAGGCAGATCAGTCGCTGGCTTCTGGACGGCCGCTCACTGCGGCTGCTGGCCGCTCACGCTGGCTGCTGGCTACATACGGTAGCCCATGGCAACCCACTGCAACAGGGGCTGCAGCCTACGCCGTCGCCGGCGACTCATGGCAGCCCAGCTCCAGGTTGAGCTGTTG